AGAGAGAGAGAGAGAGAGAGAGAGAGAGAGAGAGAGAGAGAGAGAGAGAGAGAGCAGGTTTTGAACATAGATTACTCATAAACGAGTAGAAATTTATTTAAACCCAAAGTTAAGTCGCACGTTCTACAGAAATCCAAGGACAAACTTAGTAGTTTGTGGATAAAATTGCGCTGTGTCAAATTCTGCACACGGTCCTGCGCTGCTCTGCGCTGCTCTGCGCTGCCTGCGTGTCAGTGTGCGTCTAGCATTACACGTGCGTTTCGACATTTCACGGACATGGAATCGATATGTTCCCGAAAAAGCCGCAAGCACACCTCGCGAACTTACATTATCGAACTTCATCGAGATTACACCCGGGAACCGTCAACGTCGCTCGCGATCGAGCGTCATACAGCCCGTGCGCTGCGACTCAGCGCAGCCCCGAGCGCGTGCATTTATATTTCACCAGACTGCAGGACACACGCCAAATCATTTCAATAGCCTTTTTTATTTTTTACGCGAGTACGTACGTGTGCCATACTGCAATTGCGTTGCGATAAGATCTAACGCACATACACGCTCACGTGAGCGAGCGGACGTATCATTCGCGTGCTTTCACGTTTTATTTGATTTTTATCGTCCTCGCGGGGCACATCGGCGAAACATGTTTCTCGTTTTCGAACATTTCGATGGCGCCGCGGATCAACGAACGACTGGCCGCGCGTAGGAGGGAGACAGTCCTGTAAGCGCAGGAGTCTCACTCGCGCAGTTGCGAAATTAGTTACGGCAGCGTTGGCAAAATTACATTTTAAAAGTTCGTTATACTGTTAGAAATTTTGAGAAATAACTTATCGTTATGGTTATCGTTGTAGTTGGTCAAAATATAACGAGTTGTTACAATTCCCATTAGTTTTCTCACCAAGATCTTTTTCCTCACAATTCACTGTCGCTTATCACACGTATAAGTATTCTACATGCGCAGAGATCTATCTGTCTATGTAAAGTAACGATAAAAGCAACAAATTAAGAGAAAGATAAGAGCTTATAAGAGCCGTGCGTTGGATGTTATCGTGAATAAGTTTGAATGAGAGGATGGGACTCAACTTTGATAGCCCAACACTGTTAAACATCATTATCCTTCTATTCAATCTTATTTGCACTAATATCCAGCACACGATTCTTACAGGTCTTATTTTCCTCTTCATTTTGTGTATACTTTTAGAGCCTTAAAAATTTATATTCAATAAAAGCAACGAGATTATATTTGTTATTGTTACCTAAGAAATATAATTATATTATTGTTGCTAATGATACAAATAACGGTATTACCAAATTTGTTATAAAAAAGAAAAAAGACATAATAATAAGTGTTATAAGTGACGCGTAACTTCTCAATTTTACTTGCACTCGAAAAAAGATAATAATAGTTGTTCGCTGTCTCTTTTCTTTCATCATCATTGCAGCGTTATTGTCATTGTTACTGCTTCTACATGACTTTTTACACTACTGTTTCAGAGAGCGGTAGACAAATTGGACCACACGCGTGTACGGTATGCCAAAATGTCGTCGAAGGAAACAACCACAGTCGCACGTTGCCGCGTAGCCAGGCGTCGCAGTACGGTCTGCGGGAGGATCAGGTTCTACCCGGCGCGCGCGTCTGCAACACCTGCAGATGCAAGGCCGTCCGAGGACGTTACACCGCCTGCCAGTTGCCTGGTTGCCCGAATCTGCACAACAGTTCGAAGGCCAGGGTGAAGCGATTGAGAGCGTTGCCGTCGAAGTGGCTCGACCTGCCGCCGGAAATCCGGGAGCCGATCGCCCAGGAATTCCGTGAGTACAATCGCAGTCGCACTGCTAATGCGAAATCTAACGCGACGGTGGGGATTCGTGGCGATGCATGAATCGGGCGGGCAAGAGAGCCGCGAGCGAATTCCAGGGACACATTCAATATCCAATAGAACAAGTTGTGTTTTAGTGACGTTGAAAAGATGAGTTTTCCTACACGAAGAGAGAAAGTAAAACTTACTGTATAATTTTAATATAAATTATTATTGGCTCTTAGATATAATTAAAACAAAATGTAAAAAAAGGGCATTTTAGAGCCAAAACATTGGTTTATGAGTGCTATCATACAAAATAAAAATCCAATTACACAATTAAAAGTATAATTAACTTTTTAAAATTTATACGTTTCGATTTGTTTTAGGTCCTCTTGAGTAAAAAATAAAACAGATCGGTCTGTATAATTTTGTATCTAGGGAATATCGACATTCTACCTTGATTTGTTGTCCTTTCGTTCTATATTATACTATTTATATCTTAGAAATATTAAAGTCTACTAATATCAAATGTCAGTTCCGCGCCCAACTCCCTATCAGGAGGACTGGATGATTTTTGATAGAAACTTTCTATATCTAACCTTTGAGAAATCAGTTACTTATATCACAAGGTAGTAGAAGGCGTTTCTGGTCTACCCCGAGCATTTTATTTCCTCGATCTCTCCGTTTTCGATGAGCTTTCCCTCATTCGTTACCTGAGAAGACGCTCACTTGGAGACTACATGCGGGATATTTATATTTATAAATTCTAAATATTTAAATTTATATATATATATATATATATATATATATATATATATATATATATAT